CACATGACCCGGAAGCTGTACGCCGGCTCCCTCGGCCAGTAAAGCGAGATGAGCACCGCAACCCCAGAGTCGGTCATGACTGGACCTAATGGCCAGGGGTCCCTTTACCTTTATATTTAGTCACTAATGCAGATTAGAATTCCCACAAGGGGCCCTGCAAAATAAATAAATGAATACTTGCTGCAGTGTGGTGTTCAGTCAGATGACCATGTCCTTCTCATGATACTCCATACCATTTTCCCTCCACCTGGTTTCGTGTTCTCTCTCCCCCAATAACCAGTCAACATTCAATAGCCACAGAGCATGATCATTGCCTATTGGGCTGTTTTTACCCCTGCTTGTGTATCCCCCCTCTCCTGTCGTTAAATGTTGCGGTTTTGGCTGCATAAGCAATGAAACTGAGAGAATGTTTTTGTGCTTAAGTGTAAAAATTTTAAAAAAATTAAAAATGAATTGGGGTGGTGGTGGAAATCAACCTATTTCCCACCCTAAATGTGAGTATGACATTCAAGGAGTAAACTAATATGCTTTTAAGTAATCTTGACCATGTGCGCCAAAAGGGTGACTCACAAGTTAACAGCCCATTTGCCTGTGAAAGCTCATTCTGCAATAAGCCACTTTTGGTCCATTTGCATTATACATGACAGTACATCCAGGCCCACACTTTTGTAAAGTAGGGATATTTAGTTTGATAGTTGTTTTGCTTGTCATGGTAATGTGCACCGCACACAGACACAGGTGTTGCAGTGTTCTAAAGCAATAAAACATGTCAAGAAACTGCTTATCATAAATGGGGTGACTGTACATACCACGATCCCTCTTTCAAACTGCCTTTGACTATATGAAAAAGGCTGCTGTTTTCAGCTTCGCAGTTACAGCAGACTGGGAAAGATGGTCTGGAACGTGTTCCAGTTAACATCATAATGTGTGAGGCAGCAATTAATCTCTCAGTTATTTCTTCCTTATTCCTGCTATGGAGTGAGGTTGCTGTCCTTGGTTATAAAAGAGTGGATGTTTCTATAGATGTATTCTTGGCCCAGTGATAACAATTAATGTATTTAGCACATCTTGTGCATAATTCTGCACAGGTGCTCATAGAAGGAGATCTTACTTGTGGCAGCAACATTTCTCAGCAAACAAGTTGTTTAGTATTGAAGGTTTAGGGCAGGGGGAGGTGGATGGTCTCGGAAATTAGCATTCAGCTATCTGATCTGAGATAAGATGAAACAACTGTGTGGTTGAAATGTATTGTCGATATGAAAGCTTTAAAGTATTACTGTAGCTGCACTTTGCCTCCTTTTCACTCAGAAAAAGAGTATTATTCATTAGAATAAATTCACATGCTGTTAAATTCATTCATATAGCCAGAAGCCTATAAAAAGAATATAGACTAAAGAGCAAGCTGAATAATGAGATCTAATCTATGTAAAATAAGCCCCAGAAGAAATGTCCTTTACTTTGATAATATCCCTTGAAACAAGATCCCCCACTGGAAATCACAATAAAACGAGAGCTTGGGAAAACTCGCCAGCCAAGCGAGGTTGCTTTTGGAGGAATAATAGCTCCCCAAGCCAACCGACCTCATGATCCTAAGGAGGGTTTTTCATTAAGGCCAATAAAATCTCTTGGATTCCCTGAAGTTAAAGAGAAAACAGAGATTTGGAGGGGGGGCTCACTGTATGCTCCCAACCTTTCCTTTATTCAAATGTACAAGCGAAGTCTCAGCTTGCGGCCTCCAACAGAAAAGGATCCAAAAGTCCATTCAGAAGCAGACAATGGCCGAGCAACTGCTCTGCTTCAAACATATTTGACCACGAGTTTCTGCTGTCGTGTGCAGCAGCAGCAGATTGACGGGTCAGAGCGTGGGCTGCCAATGCCTAGCATGGGGCCCAATCATCTCCATATTGACTGGGTATTTATGAATCTATTTAAAATGGCTTATTGGGATTTTCACACACAGCCTTCCCAAGGAACTTCAAAACACTACAAGAAAGAGAGTTCAGCCCTTCTACACTTTTCAAAAAAATATATAAAAAATTGGGTTCATTTCAATTTATCGTTTTTAATTTGCACACACCATGTGGGTGTTTTTCATAGCGGGAAACAACAGCCTATAAATTTAACAACAGAAGGAGTAAGCAAAACGAGACTTGTACTTGACGGTGGGTGGGTGTGGTTTGGTCTGAAAGGAAGATAATTTTTAAAACAGGAAATGGTTTTAATGGTTTTGTGGGGTCTCCTCTTTACAAGTGGCAATGCATATTACTTCAGTTTCTTTGAAATGTGGCAAGCAGTTCTGCTGTATTTGAGGGCCCTGGGTGTTTCCTCCAAAGTCCTTCCCTGACAGCCCCAATATTTAACCGGGGCACTGCAAGAGACAGCGCCACCCGAAACAGGTGCCCTTTCTTTCTTCTGCTGCCCACATTCCTCCTTTTCCTCCTTTCTGTGTAGGTAGTGCTGGTGGATTCTCACTGCCTCTTCACACCCTCCTGCCTCATCCGGAGAAAGGGCTTTGGGAGTCCTCCCTCAAAACAAGCCATTCTGGGCAAGGTGGCTCTAAGTTCAAACCGCATTTCTAGTCCCCACAGAAAACTGTTGATGGTACAGGCTGTCTCACCCAGAACGCCTCCCTCTGAGGAAGGACCTATTTGGGAGTGGATAGCAATGTCTTTGGGTTGCTTGGCTGCCATTTTATTTCCCCCAGACTGGTCCACATGAAGTGTCATTCTAGCAAATTATGGCAGGGAACAGTAGGTTTCTGGAAAATATGACGGTCAATTGGTGGTTGCCATCCTTAACACAAGCACATCCCACCACGTTCCAAATGCCCTGGAATTAAGATTGTGCCCAGGCTTCTAAACTGAGATCTAAGCTGTTCCTGTTGCTGCTGCCATAGCTATAACAGCAGGTGGTGGGGAAGAAAAAACAAGGAAGACCACCACTGCTAATAATCAGCCCCCTTTGCCTTGTTTGGGGGTTCACTTTTCCTTAACCCCTCTTACAATGGAAACCACTGAAATTACATTTTGCTGATCTATGCTTTCATCCTACTTTGGGATATGAACAGTCTTGAATTTAACTCTCTTCAGAGTGTTTTTAATGGATTGAGGGCACATCCACAATGAACACTTAATTTCAGTTTTATATCACTGTAACTGCAGGGCTTTCTCCAAAGAATCCTGGGGATTAATAGTTTGGTGAGGGTGCTGAGAATTCTCTGTTAGAGATATTCCCAGCCCACTCTTCACAAATCTGCTGTAGACAATGTTTCATGAGGGGGGAAGGAATGACTTACTAAATCAGTTTAATTCTGTGATGTAGATATGGCCTGAGAGATTGAGATGAGGAATTATTTTGCTCTGAGCTCTTGGCTAAAGGCCTCATGCCGATAGGAAGTCTTATTATTAGTATAAATTCTGAACTTAGAAGGACAAATTGTAATGGTTTCTGGGGTATGAATCACGGGCAAACAGCGCCCTATGTCTCAGAATATAACTGAAAGCACAACCATTTCTTAGAAGACATTATTTTGCAGCTATTGTATTTTAGCCCATAATGTCATTAGACACTTAAAGAGTCATGAAACAAGATATATAAATGGTAGCTTATCAGAGAAATGCTGACACCATAATAAAGAAATTGAATAATTAATATCAAATATATTGTTTTCTACTTGACAGAGTGTGCTGCTGGAGAGTATTATTATATATGCACGATTCTATAGCACCCATCAATGTAATAGCCACTAAGATAATCACATATCTTGGGTGCAACGCACGACAGAAGACTGAAGGGTAAGCAGTTACAGGATCTGAGCTGCGTAGGTCTTTTCTTGATAAAGGCTTTTTGTAGGGGGGGTGGGTGGTGGTGGAATTATTCCACCTCATGCTGGAAAAATGGCATAACTTTTCAAAAGAAGCTAACCAAAGCTTAATTAATAAGACCTTTTTTATTTCAGGAAAGTATGCCAATGTGAGGTAAGTACATAGAAGGACAAAGCTCAGGGAATTCAAATCCCTGCTCAGCCACAAAGTTCACTGGGAGGCCTTGGACCAGTTGCCATCTCTCTCTCAGCCTCATCTCCCTCACAGACTTGTTGTCAGGATGAACCGGCGTAGCGATGGGGAGGCAATAGGAAGGGTGGGATAAAACAGAAATGAATATTATAGGATACAACTTGATGGAAACTCAGCTCAAAATCTTTGGGCTGTTCCATATTGTGCTCTGGAAATGTGGGGCTGTGCCCCTGAATGCGTGTGGGGGGGTATGTACATGTGCTGAGCTGTTGCCTTCTGACCAGCTGACCAGCGGGGGATAACTTATCAGGTGGTGTCAGGGGCTGGACTGAGGAGGAATGGTGGGGATCACCCTCCCTTCTCCTGAACCTTCCTGAGAACAGGAGGACTGTATAGATTTAGATCAGTGGGTTGCAGAAGGGCATAGCTCAGAGGCTGCAGAGGGGACAAGCTGGGAAATATTGGGAGAGGAACAGCAGGAAGAAGAAGAAGCACCAGGGGAGAGACATTTGACAGACTCAGTATCCTTGGAAAGCACTCCTGACCCACTTTCTCCCAGGACAAGACAGGCATTGAGGGTAGTAGAATGGAGAGCTCAGCGACAGAAGACTCAGATTAGCCGGTGCAGAACTTATGTAGAAGGGGGGAGACTTTACTTGGAGCAATGTCATTTTTAGAGAGAGACCACATTCCTTTGTCTCTTGTTGTAATTATTGAATAAATTAATTGGTAAGAACTCTTCTTTTTTTTATCTGCTTCTTTGTGGCCACTGGGGGAGGGATCTGATTCACTGAAGCCTGACAGGTGGATGTTAAAACCTCTTCTGCTTCCAAACTCCCCTCTCCTGATGCTCAGCTGATAAATGGGAACACAGGAAGCCGCCTTCTACAGAGTCAGGCTATTGGTCCATGTAGCTCAATAATGTCTTCACTGACTGGCAGCACCTGTCCAGGATTTCAGGCAGCAGTCACTCCCAACCCTACCTGGAGGTGCCAGGGATTGAATCTGGGACCTTCTGCTTCTAAGGTGGATGCTCTACTACTGAGCTATGGCCCCTTTTGGTTCAGCAGCAGGAAAGAACGATGGAGCACTCAGATCTTCCATGCTCTGCCCTGAGTCCATTTCCCTGTGTGCAGAATGGGATCCAAGCAAGCAGTTGATGGTGGACAGGTTCATTCTCTTCCTCCATGGACAGCATGCTGCATTTCTGTACAGTGCGCTGAGAAAGAGAACACCTTTCCTAGTGGGCAGGATGAGAGGCAAGCCGCTGGGGAATCCATTCTTCCTTGGGCATCTGGAGCAGAGCAAGTGAAGTGTGGCACTATGCCTTTGTAGGTGAAAAAGTGGGATATGTACATGTGAACATATGTGTGTGATGTGGCCCTGCCTACTTTGGGCTTTGGTTCCACCCACACTAAGCTTTAGCTCCAGCCCTGATTTGCAGCCCTTATAGGGGGGAAGTAGGTATAATTAATTAAAGGGGGACACATGGGCAGTGGCGTAGCAAGGTCAGGTAGTACCCAGTGTGAAAAATTTCTTGCCCCCCCCAATGATTTTTTTTCTTGAGCTTTTTTGGGGGAGCCAGAGTTGTTGAGTGGACCATTTTGACAGAGGGAAGCCTGCGCGCCAAAGCCACACCGTCTCTCACATACATTGAGTGCCGCACAGCATTTTGTCACCCCCCTCAGAGGTGACACCCAGGGCACACCGCACCCACTTTGCTCTGCCCCTGCACAGGGGGCCATTTTGTATCGGGGGTTACATGCGTCGCTGCCATTGGGGGATCTCACTCCTGTTACGCACTTACAGCAAAATCCTGTGTATGTCTACTTGGAAATAGACTTAGGTTTAGTGTGCATAGGATTGCAGCCTTTATCACTTTTTGTCAAGGAGCTGACAAGCAAGCCAGGTCAACCACAGGGCAGGCACACACATGGGAGGCACAGAATGCAGTTAGCTTTTTATTAACAGAAAGCAACAACACAGTAGAGTCCTTTGGTTCGTCTTAAGCCTGCTGAGACATTGCTGAAACTGACTACTAGCTCCCTCTTTCTCCTGACCCCCCTTGATCACTCAAACCCCTGTTTCTAGAACCTCTCAGCTCATCCCTTCCTCAGACTGCTCTTCAGTGCCCCACCACCAGGATCCAGGGTCTAAGTTGTTTTCTTCTGTGCCCTCCTTGGGGGGGCTCGTGGGCGGGGGTCTCCCACCATTCTTCCTCATCCAGCCAGTCCCTGACACTTTTCAACATAGGTTACAAGACACATTTGACAACAATCACTACACCTAAGTCCTTTACATCCTTCTAAGTGCAGAAACCTTACTTATCTCATCCAATATTCTTAAGCAACAACAGCAATTTTGTCAATTTATGTTGAATCTATGTTGGAATGAGGAAATTGAGGGATAATGGCAGTATTTTTCTCATAGCTTTCCCGCCGTTTGGATTCATTTCATAAATACACAAGCCTGTTTTGAACTATTATTGTCAAGGTTGTGCCATCAAAAGCTTATCTAATAGAGGCTTTGCTTTCAAGACCTCAAAGACAGTGGATTCTGCATAATAAAACCTTACAAATACTCAAGTGATCTGAGCAACTGGAGGATCACTGCAGCATGGCTTCGCGTTGCCTTTGTAGTTTTGAACACGGTATAACATTATTTAATTAGCTAAAAAAATTCCTGTCTCTTGAGAGATGGAAACCCAATGAAATGTCAACTGTGCTGTCACTCTCCTTCAGGCTAAACTCATTAGAACAAAGACTAGAGATAAAAATAGTCCAAGACAGAGCATTTTGTTGCAGACCAGAGGGCCACACACCTTATGCCTTGGAAATCCAGATGTGGAGCCAGGCAAATAGTGCTTTGGAGGGATTTAATCCCATTTAGCTGCTTTAACTGTTTAGTGTTTTACTTTCATGCAGAATTCTACTGAGCACAATTAAACAACATATAAAACCTTGTTGGTGGTTGCCAACTCATCAACAAGCACTGGTTAGTGGTAGTTTAGCAGTAGTGGGGAATAATTTCTCATTTCTCACAGTGGAAGAGTGGTATAATACGTTGTTTATCTCCACACTAGAAATGAATCACTCTCACCTTAGAAGTCAGAGGAGGGGGCTATATTTATAAAGGGGCTGGGGTAGGGGAAAGAGAGAGAGAATGCTTTCTCTGAATTGCAAGTGATATTTAAAAATGCACGTGCTTATTACGAAGCATAATAAAATCTGGCATTTTCTGTTGTCAGATGTTTTATAAAGGCTAAATTTCTTGATTTATTTAAATAGACAGGAAAGAGCAAACTACAAAAAAGTGCTATATACTGAAGGCATGTGAATTACCTCCTTCCCAAGGATAATGCAAATTAGAAGTGTGTAAAGCTTTGTCTGCACCTGGGATCTTTAATGAGGATAAAGAAAAATCAGACAGAAATTCTCCCGGGAACTCAGCGGATCGTTATTTGAATAACCTGCAGTGAATTCTAATCAATGCGACGTGACTTTGAAAATGAATGTGCTCTTACTACCTGCTGTAGTCAAGCCATAATATTAATCATAACTTCATGGTACAGTAAAGCCTATGACAAATGGTTTTTCAGTGGACTAACGAAAGACCATTTGCAGCAGAGAAAGTCCATGCTTATAAATCCTATTTTCTCTCTCTCTCTCTCTCTCTCTCTCTCTCTGTGTGTGTGTGTGTGTTGGATGACTGGTTTCAACATGCATTTTATTTAAAGAAACAAAAGATGACTGCGAATGCATTCAAAAAATATACATGGTTTTCCATCAGAAGTGACATGTATAACCAAATTGGTATTATCCTGCTGAGAGATGCTATTAAGCATTGAATTTTGCCTTTGCCCCTGTACTGAGTTTGGAGGTAAGGGTTTCCAAGTCTGATCTCATATTGCCCTCCAGCAGAGCAGGGTTCATAGAACTTTATTTTCTGCTCCGAGGTGACTTTGTCTTACAGCACTTTCATGGTGGATAGTCTTGTGAATGGTTCAGCATGGAATGATTGCAGGTTTGGTCTTGACCAGGGAATTTCAACAAGTATAAAGGTTAAAAAGGTAAAGGACCCCTGGATGGTTAAGTCCAATCAAGGACAAACATGGGGTTGCGGCACTCATCTCGCTTTCAGGGCTAGGGAGCCAGCGTTTGTCCGCAGACAGCTTTCCAGGTCATGTGGTCAGCATAACTAAACCACTTCTGGTGCAATGGAACACCATGACAGAAGCCATAGCACATGGAAATGCCTTCCCTCCACAGCGGTACCTATTTATCTACTTGCACTGGTGTGCTTTTGAACTGCTAGGTTGGCAGGAGATGGGACAGAGCAATGGAAGCTTACTCCATTGTGGGGATTCGAACTGCCGACCTTCCGATCAGCAAGCCCAAGAGGCTCAGTGGTTTAGACCACATCGCCACCCACGTCAAGTATATCTTGACCCGCCACAAGTATATCTGCCAATGGAACCATATGAGATAGAGGTGCTACCACATTTTGCATAAAGTAAAATTCAAAATGAATTTGGGGGTAAGCTAGACCTTTGAGCACACTGATTTCAAAGGTCACATCAGCATCCATTTTTTCAAAAGGCTCCAGTTCTAGACACTATATGCATATATGTTCTGCTTCTTAGTACGAAATCCTGCATGTTTCACATTTGCCCTGACCTGTTAGGAAGTGTTTTTTTTGGTTTTTTCCTCCTCTTCCAAGACCTTTTCTTTTATTCCTAGAACTCTGCAGCTATTTTATTTAAGGTGTGCCCTATCCTTCATACAAATATACCCTGAGGAATTTTGCAAGTATGTAGTGTGGGCCTTGCCCTTTCAGGTACCACCCCAGGACTATGAAAACCCACCCTTTAGCTGTATTTTGTAATGCCTTCATTTTTTATTTTTTTTTAAAAAAAGGCAACATCAGATTCATTCATCCCACCCAGATATTTTACTGCATAAGGTGAATATGGATTGAAAATTTCTCATCAGGCTCAAATTCATTTATGTTCATATAGCGGAATATATATTTATTTGGGGCTCTGAGGAGACTGTATATTAATTGTTAAGTATTAGTTGTTAAGGGTCCAACTGCCATGTGACGAAGAAGCAAAAGTAGCCACCAGCAAAGCGAACTGTTATCATCACCAACATCCACTCCAACTATAACCACTTCTCATGCTGAGAATGGAAGGTTCCTTTTCTCCTCACAAGCCCTACTTGGGTGTGTTCCATGCTCCCATGTTGAACAATGCAGGAGCAAGAAATGGGACCAGGTCAAATTTCCTTGCCCCTAACACCACATGTATGTGAACACAGGGGAGGAACATGTAATAGGGCTATTGATACCAGTAGAACCAACAAGTCTATGAGTAGGAGGAAAAGTTGACTATGTGAATTGCCACCATTGCCAAATATTTCAATGGACTATTTAAATACCATAGATATCAATTTATCATCTATCATCTATCTATCTATCTATCTATCTATCTATCTATCTATCATCTATCTATCGATCTATCATCTAATGTAAGCTGCTCCGGGGGCTTTGCCAGCTGTAGAACATGTTTGTTTGTTTTTAAAAACTTAAAATAATAAATCTGGGGTGTGAGCTGCTCATAACTACCACAATTGTGGACACACACACACACACACACAATTTTTATAGGAATGACTGAAGGTACAAGGCAAGATGGGGGTAGCACGTCCCCACACAAAGATATCCCTGCCCAACCATCCGTGATCCCTGAGATAAAATTTCTGAGAAATTTCAAGGAAGACCAAATAATTTTAAGCCTGACATTCCAAAGGAAATTTGGAATGAAGCTTCAAAGGAATATCTAGCTATGCCAAAAGAATTCTGATAAGATTACAACAATTTCCCATGAGATAAGGGATTTATACATCCCTAATTATTTTAACACATGTGTAATTCATTGTCACTTAGCTAACTGAATATGTATGATATGCCACTCTGAAGGATATAGCCCACACCATACTGAAGGCTTTTCACACGATTGCATAGCCTTCATATTTTTCCATGTATATATTGTTTTC